CACTGTTCGTCAGCCTCGCATGCTTCTCCGATCTCGACCTTTGGTAGGCATGTACCTTTCACGTCCACTTCATTCTCACCACATGCGGATTGACAAATGCCATTCACATAGCTCTGATTTTCCGGGCAAGCACAAACGCCAGCCTGGCAGATAGCACTGGTTGGGCACTGCACTTGGTTACTGCATGGTTCGCCAATAGAGACACGGTTTAGGCACTGACCATCGACAGCGACTTGTTTCTCCGAGCAGACTGGAAAGAAAAAGGTTATAAGCAAAGCGTACTGCAGCTACATATAAGAAACAATCTGGATAATGAGAGCGAGGTCGGAAATTGGGGGTATGTTATTTCCCTTCCCTTCGAGAAGTTGAAAGTAAATGAAGAGATCCTTTCAAGAAAGGATGGGTTGATACTGAAGCCGGGGTAGTAGCATGAAGAGTACCTCCCTACACCTGATCGAAATATCGAATTCCAAATTCCGCCCCAGACAATCCCCAGCTTTGTGGCACATTCCAGAAATAAGATGGCTTTTCGAAGGATTTCATTCACAAAAAGCAGCTTTCTCTATAAGTTATCAGTCCCAGGGTCGGTTTTTATCTCCCCAGTCTTCTAATTATCATCTATTCCTCCAGGTACTCGCGGAAAAAGGCACGGAATGAGGCTGGGTATTCGAATAAGGAAACAAACAAAAACGAACCTTGTTCATTGGTTGTGCAACATAGCTGAGCTCCAGTAAGACTGCGCTGGCACGAGTATCCTTTAGGGCAGCTGCTCTGTCCGATGGCACAACTTTGGGCTTCACCGGTGATTCCAATGAATGCCACAGAGTCATTCGGACAGCCTCCAGACATTCCACAACATTGGAACTGATTGTTGGCAGTAGAGAACTGGCAGAAGTAGCCAGTAGGGCAATTTTGCGAGGCAGCCGTACAGATTCGTGGCTGATTTGTGGCCACATCTCGATAGGCCACTTGGTTGTTCGGGCAGCCGAGAGCGGCGATAGACTTCGGTGTAGTGATCGGTGTCGAACCACAGCACTGGTAGCGTTGATTGGAGATGGACCA